TGGGGGTCCCTGGAGTAGGTGGGTTTGGCTCCTGGTTGGGCTCTTGGGAGGTTGCCTCGAGTCCTTGTGGTCGCCCCAAGGTCTTTGGGGTGGTTGGGGTGAGGAGTTGTGGGGTTTGGAGGTGCTGAGGTGGAAGCAGGGTGGGATGTCGGGTGAATCTGAGGAGAAAACGGGCAAATCTGTTGGGATGGCGAGCGGGGCTTGGCTGAGTCAAGTGCTCAGAAGTTGGGAAGGCGTTGAGCTTTAGTGGGAGCCTGAAACAACAGCTGGGGGAGCTGGGGTGGCTCAGGGAATAGGCAGCAGCGCCGTGTGCCCGCAGGGAGTGAGAACTGGGTGTCCCAGCAGCTGCCTGGGTTGGGTGGTGACCAGGGAGTGGCAAGCACAGATCTCACCCAAGATCTCCTGGGCACGGAGAATTCCCTTCAGGAGCCCTTTCTGGCTCTGGGGAAGGTGGGAGGTAGGGACTGGGAATGGTTTTCTGAGAGATAAAACTGGGGGAATGTGAAGCCTCGGAGATAAGGGGGTGGCTGGGGAAGGAAGTGCTGGATGCTGGCTCAGAGTTGGAGCAGGGTGTGGTGAGGAGAGGGAACAGGGGTGTCAGGACACGGTGTTCTGGTTTCAGGTGTGGAAAGAAGGGAGGTTGGAGCAGCAACACTTCCCTGCCCCAGGAAGTGACGGGGTTCAGGGTGCTGGGGGGCAGGTGTGGGTGGCTCTTCCCACATGGCTGATGCAGCTCAAGCCCGTGGGGCACTTGGCTCCCTCAGCAGCTATGTAAGCAGAAGAGGGATAATACCCTGAGGATGAGCCCTGCAGCTCCAGCTGACACTTCCCTTTTTCCTTCCCAGATGAGGATGGTTCTGTCATCCTGAGACCCGGCAACAAGTACGAGTACAAGTTCGGATTCGAGCTTCCCCAGGGGTGAGTGTGAGAGAAACACCCTGTCAGGGAGGAATATTGAAACTGGATCACTGTGGGAAATTCCCCAGTTGCCTCAGGAGGTGTCTAATAAGTGGGGTTTTTTTTTTCCACAGGCCTCTGGGCACCACCTTCAAGGGGAAGTATGGGTGTGTGGATTACTGGGTGAAGGCTTTTCTGGAGCGTCCGACCTTCCCGGCACAGGTGGTGAAGAAACGCTTTGAGGTGATGGATCCCGTGGATGTGAACACCCCGGAGCTGCTGGTGAGCCTCTTGGAGAGCTTTGGGTGTGGGCAGGAGGGAGGAAAGCTCCTGGGTAGGGTCAGGCTGACCTCAGTCGTTAAGATCCCACTAATAGGCTTTGGTGCTGAGCCTGGATTAAATCCTTAAGAAGTCCCAGTTCTGGAAATCTACACCAGGGAGGGGCTGGTTCTGCTTTCACTGGGGAAGCTCAGACCTTGGGGAGGGGGAACCCGAAGCTTTTGTTGTGCAATGGCAGGAAGGAAGGAGGAGGGGTGGGACTGGTGGGTGGCACTGAAGTGACCCTCTGGTCTTCCCAACAGGCAGCAGCGCCGTGTGCCCGCAGGGAGTGAGAACTGGGTGTCCCAGCAGCTGCCTGGGTTGGGTGGTGACCAGGGAGTGGCAAGCACAGATCTCACCCAAGATCTCCTGGGCACGGAGAATTCCCTTCAGGAGCCCTTTCTGGCTCTGGGGAAGGTGGGAGGTAGGGACTGGGAATGGTTTCCTGAGAGATAAAACTGGGGGAATGTGAAGCCTCGGAGATAAGGGGGTGGCTGGGGAAGGAAGTGCTGGATGCTGGCTCAGAGTTGGAGCAGGGTGTGGTGAGGAGAGGGAACAGGGGTGTCAGGACACGGTGTTCTGGTTTCAGGTGTGGAAAGAAGGGAGGTTGGAGCAGCAACACTTCCCTGCCCCAGGAAGTGACGGGGTTCAGGGTGCTGGGGGGCAGGTGTGGGTGGCTCTTCCCACATGGCTGATGCAGCTCAAGCCCGTGGGGCACTTGGCTCCCTCAGCAGCTATGTAAGCAGAAGAGGGATAATACCCTGAGGATGAGCCCTGCAGCTCCAGCTGACACTTCCCTTTTTCCTTCCCAGATGAGGATGGTTCTGTCATCCTGAGACCCGGCAACAAGTACGAGTACAAGTTCGGATTCGAGCTTCCCCAGGGGTGAGTGTGAGAGAAACACCCTGTCAGGGAGGAAAATTGAAACTGGATCACTGTGGGAAATTCCCCAGTTGCCTCAGGAGGTGTCTAATAAGTGGGGTTTTTTTTTTCCACAGGCCTCTGGGCACCACCTTCAAGGGGAAGTATGGGTGTGTGGATTACTGGGTGAAGGCTTTTCTGGAGCGTCCGACCTTCCCGGCACAGGTGGTGAAGAAACGCTTTGAGGTGATGGATCCCGTGGATGTGAACACCCCGGAGCTGCTGGTGAGCCTCTTGGAGAGCTTTGGGTGTGGGCAGGAGGGAGGAAAGCTCCTGGGTAGGGTCAGGCTGACCTCGGTCGTTAAGATCCCACTAATAGGCTTTGGTGCTGAGCCTGGATTAAATCCTTAAGAAGTCCCAGTTCTGGAAATCTACACCAGGGAGGGGCTGGTTCTGCTTTCACTGGGGAAGCTCAGACCTTGGGGAGGGGGAACCCGAAGCTTTTGTTGTGCAATGGCAGGAAGGAAGGAGGGGTGGGACTGGTGGGTGGCACTGAAGTGACCCTCTGGTCTTCCCACAGTCCCCAGTTGCTGCCAAGAAGGAGAAGAAGGTCTCGTGCATGTTCATCCCCGACGGGCGCGTCTCGGTCAGCGCCCAGATCGACAGGAAAGGGTTTTGTGAAGGTGAGAGCTCAGTGTCCCCTCCCAGAGCAGGGCTGGGGGGGTGGTGGGATCAACAAGGGGGTGATAAATCCCACCAGGAAAAGCTCCCACCTTCCTAAACTCCGACCCGGATCCCTCCCCAGGCGATGAGATCTGCATCAACGCCGACTTTGAGAACACTTGTTCCCGCATCGTGGTGCCCAAGGCGGCCATCGTGGCCAAGCACACCTACCTGGCCAACGGGCAGACCAAGGTCTTCTCCCAGAAACTCTCCTGCGTCCGTGGCAACCACATCATCTCGGGAATGTCCGACTCCTGGCGCGGGAAAACCATCCGTGTCAAGAAGCTCAAACCCTCCATCCTGGGCTGCAACATCCTGCGTGTGGAGTATTTCCTGCAGGTGAGGGGCTGGGGCTGCTGCTGGGCTGCAGGGTTGGACCCCTCCTGTTTTCCCAACATTCCCTAAAACTTCTGGCTCCTCTCCTGGCAGATCTACGTGAGTGTCCCGGGCTCCAAGAAGATCATCTTGGAGCTGCCCCTGGTGATCGGGAGCCGCTCGGGCATCAGCAGCCGCAGCTCCAGCATGGCCAGTCAGACCAGCTCCGAGATGAGCTGGGTGGATCTCAACCTCCCTGACGCTCCAGAAGGTGAGGGGTCGGGGGGGAGGAAGTCTTGGTGGGACCCCCAAAAGTTGAGGGGTGAGGGGGGAAGTCTGGGTGGGACCCCCAAAAGGGTGGGTGGGGCTGGGAGGTGGGGCGGGGAATTCCAGAGGTGTGCTGGAAAGGCAGGAACGTTGAGGGATCCCCTCTTAACTCACAGCTCCTCCCTGCTACCTGGACATTGTCCCTGAAGACCATCGTCTGGAGAGCCCGACCACCCCCCTCCTGGAGGACCCCGACAGCTTCGACAGCCCCATCTTCATGTACGCGCCCGAGTTCAAGTTCATGCCTCCCCCCACCTACACGGAGGTGAGCATCTCCAGAGGGGGAAATTCCCAGGGTTGGCAGGGAAGAGCCTCTGGTTCATGGTGGGGCTTGGGGATGAAGCCTGGAAGCATCTCACAGGGCTGTTGGGCTTCTCTTCCCCAGGTGGATCCCTGCATCGCCAACAACAACGTGCAGTGAGGGCGGCGCCGGTTCCCGCGCTCCCGCTTTTGTTTGTCCCGGACTCTGATCCATGATGGGCACCTCGGAGCCACACGGACCCAGCAGCACGAGGAGCTGCTGGAGGCTCCACTCAGAGGAGGCCACGAGGTGGACGAGTCCACGTGTGTTCCTGCCGACAAAACCGTTCCCGAGGTGCTGAGGTGGGAACGGGCAGGAAGAACCTTGAGGGTGGAGCGAACCTGGAGAGACTGTTCCACCAGCAGCCGCCGTCCATCCCGGCCACCCCCCCTGTTGGCTCCGGGCAGGAGGTGCTGCAGGGATTGCCCCTCATCCCGGTTTTCCAGGGTCGTTGCTCCCGAGCTCGGTGCCTTCAGACTCCGTCCAGCCCTGCTGGAGCCCCCGACCCAGGCTCTGGGATTCCCTGGGGAAGCTCAACACGCTGAGCTCTGCCCAAGTCACAGCTGCTCCCTCTGGGCTCATTCCCGGGGTGTTCCCAGGTCCCACCGGGCACGGCCCCTTTTCTACTCTTTTTGTATCTGGGAAACTTGTTTTTTTGGGGGAGGGGGGAGGAAAAAAGGGAATAAATGTGGATTTTGTAGCAGCGCTGCCCCTGGGGGGCAGGTTTTGTAATAAAGAGACTGGAGATGGTGACAGAGGCTCCTGACTGTGACCTTGGGGACAATGGGGGGGCACAGGGAAGGGGACAAGGTCCCA